GCACTATTACATGCAAGGAGGTAATAACTCATGGATAATGTTGGGTGTGGGGCACAGGCCTATAATCTCAGCACTTGGCAGGCTGAGGTAAGATAGACAATGTGAGTGTGAGGTAGCCTGGCCTACATAATAGTAAGGCCCTGTCTCAAAAAAAAAAAAAAAAAAAAAAAAAAGCAAAAAACCCCTATAAATGGTAAAAGCAAATATGATTTGCATTCCCTGTCCTCAAAATGCTTATTAGTTGGTAAGCCAAGGCACACTAATGAACAGCAAAATAAACACTAACGAGCCCTCTACCTGCCTACAAACTGAGACATTTGCCTTTTTCTGCCTTCAAATGGAAACACTGCCTGCCAGCCTTCGCCCCATACACCAGGGGCTCTCCTGGTTCTTCTCCAGCTTTCCAGCTTATTCTGCTATCTGGGGACTTGTCAGCTTCTCTACCTGCCTGTGCCACGTCCTTACCGTCTTGGTTCATTTTCTCTTACTGCTGAGACAAAATGTTCACCACTCAAAATTAAGAAAGGAAGGATTGGGCCAGTGAGATAGCTCAGCAGACTAAGCACCTGCTGAGGCAAGCGCAGGGACCGGGATTTGGTCCCTGGCACCACATGCTGTGCCAGCCCCAGCCCCAGGTGTGCTGAGCCAGATACCAAAACCAGGCATGGTGGCACCCGCCTGTAATCTCAGCACTAGAGGCTGACAACAGAAGGATCACTACGAGTTGGAGCTGCATAATGAAATCCTGTACCAAATACAGAAAGAAAGAAAGAAAGAAAGAAAGAAAGAAAGAAAGAAAGAAAGAAAGAAAGAAAGAGCAAACACAAGGATCTGAGTTCAATCCCCGGTTCCACAAAAAAAAGAAAGAAAGAAAATAAGTAAATATGTAGTTCACAGTATGTGGCAGTTTCAGTCCGTAATCAGCTGGCTCCAAGGCAGAGTGGCATAGCACAGAGACAACAGTTCAAGGCTGCAGAAAAACAGCAAAAGCCCCGAGAGCACAAGGGTGGAGGGAACAAGCTTCTTTTCTTGCCTTATATTGTATACCTTGCCTATCTGTCCAAATCATCTCCATACCCTCCCCTTCCACAAACTCAGGATGAGATGTTTACAAAGGGAGAACCTTGGTTCTTAAGTGGCTTAATAAAACTTTTCAACTGCTCAAGTTGATACAATATATCAACCGTTACACTTATAATAAACATCTATTTATTGGTCCCTCTCCTCTCCTCTCCCCTCCCCTTCTCCTCTCTCTCTCTCTCTCTCTCTCTCTCTCTCTCTCTCTCTCTCTGCCCTCTCTCTGTGCTCCTTCTCCCCAACCCCTCTATTGGTTTTCTTTCTCCAGGATACACATAAAGGCTAATTGTCAATGATGATTCCTATAAAAATCCAAAGGAGGAAAAACTAACTTTACGCCAAGATAAATAGGATAGGTTTACTGGGCTTTGGTCCTGAAATATGGGAAGAATTTGGACAAATGGAGATGACAAAAGGAAGTTCAACAAGCAGAAACAGACACACGCAAATGCCTGGGACAGACTTAGGCCCACAGATTACTAAGTATTATTTGGGGACAGTAAACAAATTATCTGATCATAGCGGCCAGGGAGATAGACCAGGGGAATACGTACATGCCTGGCAAGCATAAGAGCCTGAGTTTGATCCCTGGTACCACCAAAAAAACAAAAACTAAAACTAAAAACAAACAAACAAAACCTGATCATAATAGAGGGCTACACAGTTAATGGGAAATAAATACAGGGCTCTGAAAACCAAGTTTAAGGAATAGTGATTGTCCAATGTAAGAATACCAGCCAAAAAGAGTTAACTGTTCAAATCAACTGCTGCATAACCTTTTCAAACTAATCTAGTTTAATTTAGCAACCAAGATTATCTCGACTCTGTCTTGTCTACACAGTACAGAGGAGATTAAAAATGAGAGACAGGACCAAAATAGCTGTCTCATTCGCCACAGGGAGAGTAAAAGGGTATGGAGGCAAAAGGCAAAAAGCAAAAAAGTACTTGAGGGCGTAACACTGGCAAACAGATTTCCTAGACTGACCTACTAACTAAATGTAACATTTCTATTTGAGTAAAATTTAATAATTTAAAAATCAAAATGGTTACTACTAACACTTGATGAAATTGAAAAAACTCTGCTTACCACAAGTTTTTTTTACAATTACATGGTAACTTGAAAGAGCAACTACTTCATGGAAAAGATTAGGATTTATTTTTTTATCTCAAATTCATTAAATGAAATACAAATAAGTAGCTATCTTCCTGGAGGAAGTAAGATGTACATGTTTCAGGTCATCTCCTTTACTGCTGTATTATCAGAAGTGACAGAGTTCTACCAGAAGTGACAGAATCTATTTATGACAGCACAATTTGCTTTTTCAGAGAACATGTCATAACAGATCACGCTTCATTTTCAAAGCTATGTTACTTTAACACTTAAATATAAAACTCTCCATATTAAGTGGCTCTTTTAAATTTAAAAGAAAACTGACGCTCTCGTACACTTTTCCTTATACATATAAGCACTTATTAGCATACTGTAAAATATTTTTCCATTAAAAGTTTGCACTTCAGGGCATGGGGTAAGAGGATCACAGTGAGTCTGAGGCCAGAAGAGGCCTAAGAACACCTGATAATACATTTTACCTACAGTATTTTCTTTGTAATTTCCAGATGTATTTCTGAAAACTCTGGTACCCTATCTAAATTAACTTGACTTAAAATCCCAATGACTTCCCATAATGGTTCAGGGGAAAGTCCTCAGAATGAGCTGCAAAGCACCCCCAAATACAAACCCGCACATACACACAATGTGAGGAAGACAAGATGAAGTGGGTCCCCTACACTAAGAAAGGAGCATGAATTGAAGCCCACAAAGAGAGTAAAGAGAGAAATTTCAACAAAGAGGAAGGAGATAGAGGTCTCCAGGTGAGACACAGCAGTGGAGGGGAGCAGTGGGGACATGAAGAATTGTACTGTCAATGACTGCTGACGGCTCGCCATCCCATAGGGAAGGGTAATTGTAGGGAGCCATCTTGGGGAGGGGATGGCTGAGCTTTGAATTCAGAGCAGCTGCTGGCTCCATCTAGTGGCTCCCAGCAGAGCTCAGGCCTATAGAAGGTATGCTGCCAACTGCAGGCCAAATGAGTCTGGTCTCCACAGAAGGTGCAGGCTCACTGACGTTATGTACTACCCCACCAAAAATCTACTGCTGGCATGCTAGGATAGATCAGCATGGACTGGGACCCTGTCTCCAGATGTTTACCAGTGACAGCAAAGACAAATCTGGAAGTAGATCTCTCTCTCGCTCTCTCTGTTTTTCTTTTGTTGTAGGGAGTTGGTGGTTTTATTTCTGTTTTTCCTCCTTTATGATCTCATCTTGTACTTATATGCCTGTGACTGTGGTTCCAAGACTCTTTCTGGTTGTGGGTCTGTTCTGTTCTTTTTATCTTTTTCTTCTCTCTCTCCCTCTAGTCTCTGCACCAGTTTCCCAAAGTTAGTGTGATCTCCCTTTGTCCTTCAGTCCAACATCTAACCTTTTCCTCTTCCATTTCTCTATATTCTCCCTAATTCATTTTAAATTTTAACCTGAGGGAAAAATAGATATACTAAGGGCTTATATACTGAATATGATTTTTTGGTTTGTTTTAGACCTTGCTAAATAATCACAAGTCTAGTTCATACAGTTAAAGGTGGCAAATTAATGGTTACCTGTTTAGC